CAGCGCATCTGCTGGGTATCGAACCCAGCAGATTCGCTGGCTCAATCGAACCCAACAGAACTGTTGGGTTCGATTGAACCCAGCACATGCGCTGGGTTCAATCACCCAGCAGATCTGCTGGGTTTGATCGAGCCAGCGGATCTACTGGGTTCAAGAACCCAGCGGATCTACTGGGTTCAAGAACCCAGCAGATCTGCTAGGTTCGATCGAGCCCAGCGAATCTGCTGGGTTCTTGAACTTGATAGCTCTGCGGGGTTCTCAAACCCAATAATGCTAGAGGTTGAAGAGGAAAGTATAAGGGTTTGCAGAAGGCAAAGGAAAGAAAGAGGAAAGAGAACCCAGTTCGGGAAGGAAGAGAGAAATAAGGATTTAGATTTTAGAGGTTGAAGATAAGGGTAATATAGTCATTTTATTATGGTTAAAGATTATTTGAATAATTTTTTTGCCATGTCATTTATTTGGACACGGTGTAAATTCCACGTATTTTATATATTTAAAAGATGTGCCCTTGCTTGTTAGTTAACAGGCCACCTTAGCAAAAATTTGACGGAAGGACCAAATTGGGGTCAAAATAGTAAATAATAAGGGCCAAATCAAAGATTTTTTGAGTTGAAGAACTGAATCAAGGGTCCGTACTATAGTTGAGGAACCAAAATGGGGATTTAACCTTGAATCAATTGGTTCATCAATTAAACTTAAGTATTTAAGTTTTAATAGATTAGGAGTTTTACTCTCACTTATTATTTGAGAAAAAAATTCTCTTATTTTCAAATTTCTCAATATTCAAAAAAAAAAAACATATATATATATATACCATTTAAGTCAGTTGTATAATTTTTATTTTTAATGAAATTATGTAATCAAAATTAATGGGTTCGTCATTTAGTGTACAATTTTTATTTTTAATGAAATTATGTAAGCAAAATTAATGGGTTGTCATTTAGTCTTCCTAATCTTCGTCAAGGTGCATTTTTCTCCCTTTTATTACGGTAGATTGATCTTGAGTTACTTCTTTTTAACAAAATCTGAAATTTTTTAATATCTCAACCAGCTACTTTGCATTGAATCAAAGCTTCATTAGTGATTCAAAGATGACTGCAATTTGGCCTAGCTGAAAGTGTAGAAACAAATTTGCAGGTTCAACTTATAGTCTTGGAAAGCTGGAATCGACTTGCTAGAGGAGCTGGAAGTACTTAGAACGAAACCATGTTTGGATTAGTTTCACCACTGGCAATAGATGTCACGTGTGTAGTATTATTATGTCTCTTTGTTGTGGACATTTTTTATTGGTAGGTTTAGCAACATGATTCATAATTTTTAAAACAAAGAAATTGATCTCACTTAACTCCCCCTTTTTGTCCCATCTAATCCATTCTTTTCAATAATTAATTCTCTAAATAGATCTTACTTTCCACATTCTCATTACAAGAGATTTTGCCTTTTCATTGGATTCCATTTAATTTGTACTTGTGTTTAGAGCTATGCTTAAGATACTCATGTTTGTCCGATGAAAAACAAATCATGTCTGTTCTTATGGTTCCCAAATCGCATTACATTCGTACATTTTGATATTATCTTGTGTTGTCTTTAGTGTTTAAATAACCCAACAGAACTTCAGTCATCATTGTTTATTCTTGAGTTTCAAGATGCACACCATTTTGGGTTCACCTTTAAATTTATGGTTTTTTATTTTTATTTTTATTTTTTAAATTTGATACAATATTTTAATTCTATTTAATTTACTCATTTTGTTAAAAATATCTATTATTCTAAAATAGAAGAAATAGTAATTTAAAAATAATAACTAATAACTAATATTTAATACATTCTTTTTCTTGAAATAATAGATTTTTTTTATTTAAAATTTGTCTCACTTGTATTTTTTTACAACCTTATACTTATCTTTTAACTTTATTATTTATCCTATCATTAAAAAGAAATTTATTACATTTTTAAAGGTAAAATAGGCCACAAATCCTTAATCAAAATAAAATTATCCTCAAATCTTTATTGCAAAGATAATAAATTCAAAAATTGTTTGTTATTCATCCGAGATAGAGAGGGTAATTCATAACTATTAACACCAATTCAACACTTTTATTAATCCATCTAAATAAAACAGCAACTGGCTACAACCTATTCCTTTGTTTGTTATAGAGTTTCAAAATTAGCTATTAGCTATTGGGTCTCATCTATCGAGTTAGATATTCTCGATTATAAAGGAGATCTACTACCAGCTCCATCTTAACAACGCAGCCAAACACCCCTTAAAGCCAAACAGGGCCTTGTCCCGTGTAACACAATGAGGAATAGAGTTACAGCAACTAAATACAGTGGTGGAAAAATCCAATCCAATGGTAATTTATTTACAGCAACTAAATACAGTTACATGTATGTCAACCTCAAAACATACTTCTGTTTCAACCCTAAATCTCCCCCCTCGAAAATGAATTAAAAAAAAAAAAAAAAACAACTCCACTAATTAAGATGTTAGTATAAATATTGTTAGACAACATATACTGATTATGTCAGCAAAACTGGAAAGATTATTGGCATTGAAACATTGATTGCTGTTAGCCAATGTCTGCTGTGACTGTTTTACCAGGGAAGGAAAGGGCTAGCATTTGAGAGAACAGCAGACCTCAATATTATGCATTTCAAGCTCACATCCAAGACCAGGCATAATTGGCCCTACAATGAGAAAAAGCAGAAATGGCAGACAAGCAATTCAATCATTCAATACCGCCAACATCTGAAAATGGAGAAGTTCCCCACCATTTTTCCATCAATTAAATGACAACCACCAACTCCAGATTCCCACTAATACTTGAGATTACAAAAGAATCAGTTTTACAAGGTCCTACCAGCACCTCCACAAAATTAAGATCTCAGTGCTTCCCTGACCCTCTCCAAACACATGACTTGTATAACTTTTCTTGGGCTGGCGGACAAAATTTTTTAAGTAATAAATCAATCATGATTAAGCTGGGCACTGAGATGAGCTAACCTCAACCACTTGCTTGTTTCAAGATGCTTTACTATAATCAGGGTACTGCTGCAACTTGTGATCCCAATTTGAATAGATCACCTCTGAACTTGCCCTTGGAAAACCTAATATTTTCAATTGCCTTCTAGGCTGCAAATACCTGACAAAGTATTGGAACCAGAGCCAGCTGTTGAAAGTTTGACGCTTCCAAACTCAAGGGCACTTGTCAGCCAATGATACAACATTGCCTCAGCAGTAACTAGTCAACCAAAGTTGGCGCTTCATATAGAGCCCAACCTAAGGGAGGATTCTCATTCTCTGATGCCTTCCATTAGGAAACTAAAACTCAAACAGCTACTGGCAAGCCATAATTGTGGAATGATCTAATCCGTCCATCCAACCCTGCTGTCACAATTACAAGACCCCATGCATGGGATCTGAAGGTACTCTGGCATGAAGACTTTAGAAACTTGTACTGGGATTTGTGCATTGCTGAGGATATGGATGATGGACTTGATGGAGGTAGCTTTTCCTCTGGCCAAGTTGCAGCTCCCTTTGGAAAAGACTCTAAAAAGTATTCGTTGCTCAAGGAGAAATAAGCAGGGGAAGAATATGGCAAAGTTTCCGCTAAATTGTCATTCAATACTTGAAACTGTCTTCCATTTTCTAAATGTCCGTATTTCAAGCCGCACCAAGGAATTGCAATGGATGCATTAGTGGAGAACCACTCACAAGACCTTATGCTTTTAGTTTTAGGAAGAGAAAAATTTTCCTGATCAACATAATTCCACATGTAGACATTTGAATCCTCACAAGCTGAAATAATATGCTTCCCATCTGGAGTCAAAGATGCAGATGTCTGGTTTCCAACATTATGTAGGCCTGAAAAGAAAAAAATAGACTGATTCTGAAATTTAGAATTATAAGCAGAATAAGAAACATAAAACCTAATTTTGAGATCAGAAGATTGATAAACCATATGATTAAGAAAAAGATGAAATTGGTATGTATATAGTTTGCAATTTAAACATTTCTGCCCATCAGGGTTTCACAAATGGGCTCTGCAGGAGAGTAATTTAAGTGTAACCTTGGTTACAACTTGCAGTTAAAACATAAACATTATGAGATAAAAAATTTAAAAGAAATGAGAAAATACCCTTGTATTTGGCAATCACGTTAAGTCCTTGTAGAATTCTGACTTGTGAATCAGCGCAAGTAACCATCACTTTACTTGAATCTTGAGGGAAAAACTGGAGGAAGTAACAAGAATAAGTACAGAGTGCATGGCATAAATATAAAGACAAGACTAAAGTCATCAGAAAAACAACGAATCAAGCAAGGCAGGAGAGTGATGGCTGAAAAAAGAGAGCCTGGAAGGAGAGTAACAGCCAAAAAATTAAGAGAGAATGGGTGGAGAGTAACAACCTGCAAACTAGTTATCCTTCTGCAAACTGACTTCTTTTTACTGCTTAAGTATACTGGAGCATCTAGTTGCAAGTTATTATCTGGAAAAGAAAAAAAGAAAAAGAAAAAGCTGATTTAGAGTTTAGAATCACTTGTTTTCCAATTTTAAGGCCTTTTAATGATAGAAACATTTTCTGCCCCATGCCCACTATATCATTTCCAAGGGGAAGTCAAAATTGTATCCACACTGTTTTCACTGCTACAGTATTCCTACCAGTATACCTTAAATTTCATACACTAAAAAACTTCTTTCTCTGACAAGGTCTGCTGGAAATAAACCAGTAATGATCTTTTTCATTTTCTTTTCTGGTTTTTTTTTTTTTTTTTTAAATCTCCTTGGAATTTTTTTTTTTTTTTTTTTAAATCTCCTTGGAATTTATTAAGTACTCAAACTACATATATATCCATTCACTGACATCCAGGAACTGATCAATTTATTATAGATGAAATCCCCCTTGGTAATAAAACAGGAACACCATGACTTGAATCTGAGGAATTTAAGATCAATTATCAACCTGATAGGCATCTCAATAGTAGCATATAAGGAAGCTACAGACAAATAGAAGAAGATATAAGATCTAGGGATACCTGACATATTGTAAAAGCGGCAAGTGCCTGACATGGTGCCAATAATCCCTCCCTGAATCAATGGTTATAAAATTTTTACATTAAAGTTTAAGAATCTCAAAAGATAAGCAAAACGCCCTATAGCCATATCTACATATAAAAAAGCAAGAAAATCATCAGACCTGTCCATCTGGCTGATAACACACTGCAGTAACCATATCTCTTATGTCTGTCCAATCAACAACCTGGCAAGTAGAAATTGCCCAAATGCGAACTTTTCCATCTATTGAGCCACTAATGAAGTAATTATCATCCACAGGGTTAAACTGAACACAGGTCACTGTATCAGATAAGGTCAAGAAAACTTTGTGAGAGGTAATTAATTCCTGACAAATAGAGGGAGGCCAAGATTATCTCAAAAATGTATTGAACCTACTGGTACTTCAAGACATGTCAGTAGAAAAACTGAAAAAATCAAATGCTCACCATAATTACTATGCGAGAAGGCTCTGAGACACTGATCAGATCCTACTTTCCACAAACGCACAGTTTTATCCAGCGAAGAAGATAGCAAATGCTGTAATACAGGCACAGCTAATGAGAAGCTTAATTTAATTCAATAGAAAATTCTCTTTTCTTTCTTTTGGATGATTATGGAAAACATTGTTGATATTATAACTATTTAACTTACATTTTTCTTTGACCATGATAGATCCAAGACCTCATCTCTGTGTCCACAAAACTCATGCAATGGTTTCTCCAATATCCGGAACACTTTGGAAGGGAAAATGACGCAGGCAGAATCAGAAGTTTTTCTCAGACTCCTCGTATTGCTGACCTTATCCTTATCCAGGAAGAGAGGTTTCAATTCAGAAAGATGATTCACCGCAAAGTATATGCATGAAGGATCTATCTCTGGAATGTCAATGTCATTACATCTCTCATCCTCCACCACTTGCCACACTCGAACAACACCATCTTCCCCAGCACTTGCAAGGTACTGCCCATCAGGACTGAACTTCATTGTCAAGATTGAACCCTCATGGGCCTGGATATCCTGTGCCTTATAAACTGCAGAAAGTTCTTTCAATCGCTTCCTACTCTGGCGGACCTTAACTCTCTGAATCCTAGTCCCCAAAATTGCATGATCATCACCATGGGCTATCAATCGATTAGTTTTCCCTTGATAATCCACAACACATGCTAATGAACGTAATTTATGCAACCACTTGTTCTTAACTCTCTTTCCTACTCCCACCAATTTATTCTGCCCTTCATCTTCCTTCCCCCTATGTTGTTGATATGAGGGAGATGATGAAGAAGTGTTCTCAAACTCTTCATGAGTTGCCAACGGGTCTGAATTCATCTCACAACTTCTGCAAGTCTTCCCATCTTGCCTCAATTCATCCTCATGGCATGCTGCTCCTCCATCTGAATTACCTTCCCTGCTCATGAATTTCTCTCTAGAAATGGATTCCTCAGAAAAATCAAAGCATTCAGAAAAACAGGAAAGTGAAGATCGGCTTGAAGAAAACTCTTCCACAAAACCAGATGTTCTCAGAACAGCACCATTTGTCTCTCTCACCCTATCAAGTTCTCCTTCCATACTGCTATCATCCACGGAATTCTGAGGAACAATTTGGTCCAAACTATTCCCCAGCCAATCAAAAAACTTATTGCGCCTCTCCTTAACACTCCCTGGGCTATGAATCCATACATCATATTGGAAACCACCCACGGGAGGACTGCCAGGAGTAGAATTAGGATCAAATATCTCGATGTAATCAGAATTTGAAGAGGATGTTGATGCAATGTCTTCAGGGGCATCAAAAAATCGAAAATCTTCTTCACTGAGGCTACCCATTATTCCTTGAGTTCAACCCATGAAAAACCACCTCAAAGGGACAACTTTTAAAGCCTCCTTCCAATGTGCCAGATTCTAAATTCCCTCTAAACAAGCAACCCCAAAAGCACTACAAGAAAATGCAAAAAACAAACCATAAAACACAACATCCAAGATGGTTTCAACAGATTCAAACACTAAATAAATCAGCAATATCCAAAATAAATAAACCAAAACACCAAAACCCAAGAGATCCAACATGGATCCCAATCTAAACCCAATGAACCTAGTCTTCCCATTGAATCAAAACCCATAATTTAAAGTACAAATCAAAACTTTAAACAATAAGGGAAGAAAAGGCAAGAAGTTAAAAAATGGTTTTAACCCATAATTTTGCAACAAATTAAGGGTTGAAAACAGCTCCCAGTTCATAGAGATCAAAACCCATCAACAGAAATGGAAGATCTTATGCCTTCATTTGAAGAAATGGAAGAAATGATGATAATAATAATAGCCATGAGTAATCACGCAGTGATTAAACAAAGAGATTTTTCAATGAAAAGAATAAAAATTGGCTTACATGGAATTTTGTTCCTAAGAGTTTTGTTTGAAACTGTAGGTGGCATGAATCGAAGCATCCATTCAAAACCAGGTTTTTGGAACTTTATGAACGCGCTCCCTGAAGGAAGCAAAGAGAACGCCAACCCACAAAAATGAGTATATAAAAAGAAGAAAATAAATAAATAAATATAAATGAGAAATTTACTGTTAATAATAATTAATTTTTTTATAAAAGTAGACAAGGGTAAAACCGGAAAGCAATAATTTCCTTGATATTCGTGATCGGACGGACCGAGAAACGAGATTTCGATAGTCTTCGATAGTCGAGTGAGTTGTTGGTTATTCTTTCTCTCTCTAAAATAATTTTAATTATTAAAAAAATTAGTTTTTTATTGCTACCGGCGTTCTTATAGTACTTTTATTTTTTTTGGTAAAATATGGTACATCTTATTACCAATGTAAAAATTCATCCTTACACCAACGAATGGTTGGATCAAATGGCAAGCGGTTTGTTCCAGCTTAAGTAAGGTTTCAAGTTCGAAACCTTGTGTACGCAGTAGCCTTCATTGGGAGACCCACCCACCATTTTGGTACGTCACAGCTGGTCGAATCCGGAGTAATCGGGCGAAGCTCCGAATACCGAACGAAAAACCAAAAAAAAAAATTCATCCTTACAACATGGAATTTTGGATACTTAATAATATATTTATTGTATAAATTTTTTAATTTATATTTTTAAAATATAAATTAAAAATATAATAAATATATTTTTTAATAAATTTATTTTAAGAATAAATATTAACTTTATATTTATTAAATATTTAATTAAATTTATTTACATAAAAATACTATTAAAATTTATATTAATTTTTACATTAATATTAATACCCTATCTCTTTATTTTTAATAAGTGTAATTTTTTATTTAATAAAATAGTAATATAATAATTTATTAATGAATTTTCATATTTATTCTTAATTAAGTATTATTTAAATAAGATTTTTTATTTAATATTTTACAATTATCTTTTAAAACAATTATAAAAAAATAAATATTTTAAATGAAATATTTTACAATTATCTTTTAAAACAATTATAAAAAAATAA